AGAGCACTGTGGTTTTTGTAGCAGGAAGAGCCTTTGCGTTGGCTTTGCTCTCATCTTAAAAAATCTCCCCATCAGTGATATTGAGCATTTGGCTTTAGCTTTTAAAAGTTTCCAATTTCTCAGTCTCAAAAAATAAATACAAGCATTCCTATCTGATCAGCAACTGAGAAAAAAAAAACCAAAACAATCCAACCTTAAGTAACAAAATGAAAAAACTGTGATCTATATGGCTTGGGCACAGTTTCCCCACTATCTATATACTTAGATTCTTAATTTCATTGATATTTTCAGTTTACATCTTTCACCTTCAAAGCACTTACAATACAAGGTCTCCCAGGCCCCTGTAAGACAACTCATCATTTTCACTTCTCAAGATAGGAAAACTAGTCTAATCAGCTTGTAGTGTTTAGAGAGAGGAAATAGTCCCAGAACAGAATTCAGGGTTTTGTGATTTCCACCCTGATATTTAGCTCATACCTCTCAAGAAAACAAGGCAAGTCAGGAGTCAGCAGGTGAGGCAACCATGCTGGAATTTTTGAAAAAGCCCCCAGCCACTGTGTGGTATTTAGACATCTAGTTAAAAATCTAGCCTGTAGCAAAGCAGAAGCAATTCTTAAATCCAGTGCTTTCTGCTGGCTAAAAAGAATAAAACTCCACTTTAGTTCTGACTAAAAGCATCTAAACGAAGATTTCATGCATTCTAATTAATTAACTTTAGAATTTATCCAGTGGAATCTGCATGAACTTCTCAAATGCAACTATGCAGACTAGTCCTCTGCTTAACCACTCGTTGGAGATGGAATTGTGCTTTAATAAGGAGTCTGAAAGAAAATGGAACAGAAATATAAAATAAAAATACAAACATGACAGTTCTTCAAGTTGATGCTTCCTGCTTGCCAGAATTAAAATAAGTAAACCAATTCATTCTGTTGTTTGGCAGCAGAATGTAATCATATGTTCCGAGAAGCGTGAACATTTTTGCAAGACTTTGACGTCTGTGACAAAAAGTAACAGACATTTCTGTGCAAGTTTATAAAAAAAGCAAATATGGAGAACAAAAACTGGATTCTCTCCACTTCGTGGTAATTCCCCTGCACTCCCTACCTTCCTCCTTCCCTCCCTCCAGGGAGGTTAATTGCAAGCAGATTTACAAATCTGAACATTGCTTCAGTCCACTGAAGCAATCTGGAACAAAAATTCTGTGCCTTTATGAACATAATTTTGCTCTGTTAGAGCTCACTGCAGACGAGTTTTACGCCAGTACGGAAGGCTTCTCTGCATCACACCCTGGTACGTGGGCTGGGTGCCTGTCTGAGGGAGACCCCACAGATTATCAAGCACAGTGACACTCCTTGCAACCTGCAAATTCTGTAAAGGAGGGAAGATGGAGGAGCTGCTCGGCTAAGCTGAGCAGTTGTGTCAGAAGGAAGTTCCATTTTCTTATACATCCAGTTTAGGTTTTAAGGGCAGGCTTCACCTTACAAAGTGTATGTTCCAGCATCCTACTTGAAAGAGTCCATTATTGTTTGAGAGTTCTGACCAACTTCCTGCGTGTTCCCTTAATTGCGGGAGGCAGTGCCGTCTATGTGACCCCTCACCAGCTCCTGAGGACTGAGATCCATGCATCCAGGCAACAGTGTGCTTCTTGCTGACACCTGGGGTCAGGCCAAGGATGGTGCTTCAACATCAGCTTAGAGATCACATAATAGAAGGGCAAAGGTTAGTTTCCTAAGGCTCTCCATCACATAATGAGCCACTATCAGCCTGAGTAGCCTCCTCACTTCAGCAGCAGGGAAAAAAAAAATCTTGTGTGATCACCATTTGTCTCTATGTGTTAATTAAAAAAAAAATAACAGGCTGGAAGGGTAAGAAGGATAGAAATGGTTTGGAGTGGGGATCAGAGCCTCAGCTGTACCTACACATGAACAGACGTGTGACAGCCATACAATAAACCCAAAGCCTGATGCACTGCTGGTGGAAGGGCTGGCTCGGGGCTGCACCACTGAGAGCTGCAGCTCAGGTTGCAGGGACACAAGCTCAGGAGTTTCTGGAGGAGAGGTTCTGATGAAAGACGCCAGGGCTTTATTTCAAGCTGTGTTTTGCCCTGTTGTAGAATGATGATAAAACAGTCACCACTAAGTCGTTTCCCCTCACACCCTTTGTCTTGTCTGTTTGGAGCACAAACTTTTAGCAACAGCGACTGCGCAATGAGAGACAGTTCCTACACTAGTGGGATCCAGTTTCAGTGGGTCTTGCAGATATTATCACAAGGCAAATAGCTTCACTCCTGCCCTGGAGACAGTCTTGTTATTGACCTCTCTTGATCAAATCTGGGGACTAACACGGGGTCAAAGATAACTTTTTTTTTCCTACACGAACAAAACAACCTATAAAGAAATGCAAATTTGGTGCATTCCTTCATCATCTCACTTCATTCTCTAAACCAAGATAAAAGCATAGAAGAAATCTCAGTATCTCTTCTTTTCCAAAACACTGTACCTCTATTCTTAAAACTTTACTTATCACAGCAGCAAGGCAGCCAGTTATAATCTCTGATATATGTGTGTAACGCTCATTAAATTCAAAAGGAGCCACATATGTAAGTACTTTTGCATGTCCTTTAAAGGCAGAACAAATAAACACAGGACTGTAGTGTTTTAGCACAAATTATTCTATATACTGAAATTCTGCATTTACTTCTCCTTAGCTCCTGGGAACAAACCTTGGGGTTTCTATTTGGAGCTGCCCACCACGATTACCTTCCCCATTTGGGACTGATTTGAGCATTGTAGGCTTGTTTCCCTATGAGATTTCCCTTTGTTCATGGCTTTTATGTTACAAAGTAACAGAACTGTAAGAAGACAGAAAAACAAAATGTGAATAAGGTACTGGGGGAAAAGAAAAACCTCTACCTGGTAAGAAAAAAGCCCGCTGACAAATATGCCTTTGTTTACATAAACTTCTAAAGAAATGGAGTTGAAACCTGGAGACAAGTATGAAAGAAGGTCAGATAAGAAAACAGTTTTTCAAAACTCTTAAGAGATGAAAAGCTCCTGTTTATGAAGGGATAACATGGAATCACTTCAGACTTAGTTCTTAAACCCAGAAGACAACACTGCATTCAGACTGATGACATTTAAAACAATTTCTCTATTCCTTTGCGAACACTTTCTACAGAAACGCAGCCAGAGGACATCCCTCGCTTCTCCCCAGTATCTTCTGTCCCCGCCCCAACCTGTTATGCCCCTTCCAGTGCCTCAGTGGTTTGAGATAAAGGCAACTGCCAAAGGGCAATTTCATTCAGTTCACCCAAAGACACAGGTAAAGCAAAACCTTAATTCTTGCTGGCAAAGCTTCCTATGGGAGAAAACAATCCATCATCTGAAAGGCAGCAAGTCTTTATACTTTACCCTAAGTAGCTTTGGCTAACATGTTAGAAATACTGCTGGTATTTCCAAAACCTACTCTGATGTGACGTTAAAGCATTTGCTTGAAACTTCTTGTCAGCCCTTTTCAATAACCACAATTTCAGATTTCCATGAAAAGGAGTTAGAAACACTGCAAAGTCATCCTAAAGATGTATCTGGTTCTTTCTCTGCTCCTCAACACTCTTCCTCTGAAAGGAGATGAAGGAGAGGGTGGGAGAGAAAAAAAAAGAGATACAACCAGGAGGGACCAGTGTGATTTTGGGACCTCTTCGGCTCCTGCTCAGGTATGGAGAAAGGAACTACTGGAAAGTCCCATGCAATTCAGGAAGGAGAAATCTGAGGATGAGAACTGATTTAAGTCATAGATCAGTCATAAAAATCTCACCAGTGATTTTTTTTTTTCCCTCTGGTCTTAAAGTCTCCCCAAGGAACTCCTGTGGGTGAATTAAAGAAGTGGGTTTGGGGCAATTTCCTCCCCCCTGCAATTTCTGCAGTGCCTATTACTAGAATTGACCTACTGAAATTAGGAACATCACTGATAGAGGTAAAAACCCTCAACAATCAAAGAAGTCACACCAAAGATTTTTTTTGTTACTGCAATCACTCGAATCAAAAATGAGAAAGTTTTAGAAGCGTTACCCCTTAGGGATTTGAGAATATTTTTTTTAGTTAAATTTTCATGCTTGATAGGGGTATTAATAAACTGAAAAAAGAGAAAAATCACAGATTTCTACCTAAATATTTTAAAATGTTCATTTAAAGGGTAAATGAGAGATTTCTAGAAAATAAAGGAGAAGAAAATCCCTTAGGTTTTTTGTGCACCTGGCAGCACTTTTACATAGCCAGGTTTACTGGCTTTGCAGGTTGAGAAGAGGATTTGCCAGCCTGTTTCACCTTTTGGGGAGGCTCCAACCAAGACTCAAGGCCATTGTACCATCAGCTTTGTAAAAGGGCACCAGCTGGCTCCACTGCTGAAAGAAGAACCTCTGGCACAAGCACCTGCACTGGCACAAGGGAGAGGGTGCAAGGCTGAACAAGGCTGTCAACTGCTGCACCGTCAGGAACCTCTCATGAAATGACACCAGGCTGACACCAAGCCCAGCAAAACCATGTGCCAGCCTGCAGGACAGAGGGAGGACTGAAACGGAGCTTAAGAAGCCAGTGCTGTTCCCCTTATGCCTTTGCCCCAAGAAGCCATTTCTAAAGCAGAAGAGGGATAATCCAATCTTAAAGCAAGTTATCTGTGCTTTTGTTCTTTTAGAAAACCCGGCAAAACTACCCACTTGGGCGTTCTCACATCCACACAAAAATGCATCGTACAGGCGGTGTGTTGCACTGAACTGTTGCATCAGTTACAGTTCTCAACTGATGGCATTTAGGCTTCAAAGTTAAGGACTCAGAAGTTTCTGAAGTACAGGTCTTAAGTTGTGTATAAAATTCATACTCCTTCCCGCACATATGAATGCAGATACTGGCTTCAATCACATAATTGCATCATATTTTACTTCCCTTGGGAATACCATATATACGTAGGATATGACAAACAATAAATTGTTTCTGAAGACAACTTACATTCTTTGGACATTCCCACTTCAAAGCACTTCTGTAGTCTGCAGTACTGGCAGCGATTTCTGGTAACTTTATTGATAACACAGTTTTTATCTCTATGACATGTGTAAACCATGTTCTTCTGGATACTCCTGCGGAAAAAGCCCTGAAATCAAGAAAAACAGAAATAAAATAAACTTTTAGCTTCCCATAACCCTTAGAGACAGGCACTAACATTGCTTGAAAATAACAAAATAAATTCAAAGTTATGTCTGGAGTATGACATCTTTAGAGACTCAGTCTTCTTATAATTTACTATTGTTTTTTGCAACATAAGACTAATCTCTTAAATAAAAACTAATTAAATAATGCAACCTAAGGCCAAAATAAACAAAACTAGAACTAATAAGAGAATTCAGGAAGTGAAGTCCTAGATTTTACAAAAAAGCTCATACAAAAATGGTTTGGGCTTATGGATTTAGTAATGAGTTGGGTAAACAACAGCCTTCCTAACAGATCCACTTTGAAGCCAAATACTTGTCCAACAGCGTCTCTCAGCCTAAAGGTCTCGTCTATTTTTGTTACTGCAGAGATTCTCTAGTTTGAAGGCTGCACGTAAAACGAGAAATAATTTGAAATCCAGGACTCTTAGCTGCTGGAACTCCGACAGCAGTTAATGAGGCTTCTGCAGGCGGAAGAGTTCCAGCATCAGGTTATTGAGTTGTGAACTTGTAAAAGTTGCCAATTACAGCATTTTTTTTTTTTTTTTAAATTCAGATACAGCTGTGAAAATAATCAAGTAATTACAATGATCTTGAACAGAAATTAAAGAGAACTAGAGTCTAGTTTGTACTTAAGGAACATCATTTGACTGGATTCCTCCTTCGGCAAGTAAAAGAGAAAAACAGCTATAAATGGTAAGGTTAGCTGGCATGGGAAAAAAGCAAAAACCAAGTTAATTTTTTTGCACTAAAAACCAAGCTTTAGATAATATCCTATAATAATGAAGAAAAAAATAAAGGATTACTTTAAGTATTTTGGAAGTCAACCCACAGATATACAGCAAAAGTCTTTCTGCAACAGACATTTGGAAATCTGACAGCACTATTTAACCTTCTCACTCAGATTTTGAAAATCATTTCAGCAAGCACCAGGGTCAAGTTTCAGTCAATATCATAGCATTAGGGAAGAAGAGTTAGCAATTTAATATTTGTTGGAGGCCTCAGAGGTTACAACTCTTTAACCAGACACATGTTTACACCCTACAGGGAAGCGGTAAACTTTATGTTGCAGATGATAGTTCTGTGCCCAAAACGCATTTGTCTAAAGACGCAATCACGGTAAGCTATAAAATTTGCTCTCCTAGAAGCACTTACTGAGATATGCGAGTAGTTCAAAAGCCAAAAACCCCATTGTTCAGGGTTAACTGGGAGAGTTTCTGGCCATATGATCAGGGAGTGGTAGGGCAGGCACAGCCAGTAAGGACTGGTCATAAATTCTTTGCACACCCAACATGCTATAGATGCTGATGTTATGAAAATACCTCAAATTCACTCAGAACCAGAAAATGCCTCCTTAATCACATAACCGCTGGCAACAGTTTTGTGCAGCTCTTGCACAGGCAAGCCTCATCCTGAGGTTAGCTGCCCTGATTTAGAAGATATTTAATAATACCATCAAAGAGGTAAATAAAAACTCTTCACTTCTTTCTTTTCCTTAAGCTACTGGACACGAAAGAAGAATTTAAAGCTATTTGTTTAGACAATTAAAACCTTTCAAATGATCAATAACACTGCTATTCTATATTCCACACTTCTGATCATTAACACTGCTTGAATCTTTGCAATGGAAAGCATGGCAAGAGTGTGTACATTTGTTTACTTGTCAAGAAGAAAATTTATGGTAATATGCACTTACTACCTTCTTGCTTTGATATTGCCCTAATTGTGATGTCCAGCTCTGTGGTAATTGCCAAGGATGCTAACTAGAACTGTGAAAAGTCTATGGCATCTCTTCTGGTTTAATTCCAACAGACAGAAAGTGTGAGCTGTGCTAGTTCCAGGGTCTCTATATGGCTTATTTAGTCACCACTTTTTAGTTGGAAAGAGGCAGGGGAAGCCAACACCAGTAGCTTCCTCAGTAGCCACCCTGGCTTAATCCATTGCTGCATGCAAATCAACACCCACAGCCACCGGTGGAGTCATTCTCCTACCACCAGCCTGACAGGGCAGGAAACAAAATGGTCCAAACAAGCAAAAATGACCCTCTCGTGCAGCAGCAACTGTCCCATCATGCTGAACTAGTAGAGTAGTTCTAAAAAAACAGCCCCCAAAGCCTCTTTGCCTGCACATGCTTTGGGGCAGAGGTTGCTGAGCATCCCTGCTTGAGAGACTTCTGGTTTACTGACACAGGCACTACTTGAAATGAAATATGAGCCTCAAAAGTATCACCCAATACAGAGAAAAGGAGAAAGAGCCTCCTCCAAATGTACCTGTACTTCACCAAAATATAACCTGTAGCTAATGCTGCCCAGTGATTGATCAGTTCTGAGATTTAGACACAGCTTCTGCATCCTTTTAACCTAGAGTTTAATTATAGCCCATCAGGAAGGACAGCAGAGGAGGCTGTCCCAGTACTTACCATACAAAGCTGACCACACAGCCCAACAGGAAAAGGTGATTCAACTTCTGCAGACAGCAAGTATAAAGCTTTCATGAAGTGATTACTAATATAAAAGGTGTAAGAAGAACAAAGTCAGAAAAAGCAGATCTCTGGGTCAAAATGAAGACAGTTTCTCCAACAGCCTAACCTCCCCAGGCAATGTCCTACACAGAGTGAAAGATACAGCCAAGGACACTAATTGCAGAAGCTTAGACTGTTGTTTTACAAATTACTTTTTAACACCCGTATTTGATTTTCTTCCTGCAGAATAAAATAATTAGGTGAAAAAAAGGTGTAATGTGGTTCTGCTCAAAACTAAGGATCTTTTTCTCTGCAGCACGTTAGCGCCCACTGCCCAAGTACTCTTTGCAAAGACAACACTGGGATACTATATATTCTACTAAGATTTGTGGCAAGCTCATTTTAAAACATCAGCAAGACATCACTGAAAAGATTTGATCTTTAAAATGCCCTCTGGACAGGCACTAAGAAAAATATCCAGATTATAAATATTATTTAATTTATTTGCCTACAAACTCCAAACCAAAGTCATCATAGGGGGAGAGACAGGAGTTCAAGCACCAGCAGGCAACAAGCACTTGCTGGGTGCTGGGGGTCAGTTTTGCCACCTGCCACCAGAAGCCTCATGCTGTGCAGCCACAAATTTGAGGAGGCACTGCAAGAAGGGTCACGCCCAGAAACACTTCCCAAATCTGACACTGGGCTAAAAATCCATTCAGCGTCCTGTCTTTACCTCTCTGCATGTGTTTGGACCTCACCTACTTTGGCTACCAGCAGCTCTGCAGCCACAGAAAACCCTGCAGGACAGATTTTGGACAGGGATGGGCAGAGCGGGTGCTTGCAGCACAGTTAAACAGGAAAGCACATTCAAACCATTTCAAGGCTGGGTTCCAGACAGGACATATATAGGTATATATAGGCCGGGGATCACACACTGGCCTGTTCACTAAAAATAACAGTTAGAAGCAAGTCTAATATTTTCTCCAAGTGCTTTTGGTCAAACGACTTCCATCTGATCTCACAACCCGAACAGTTTCTTCAAAAACCAAGAAAATTCAAATGTGACCTAAACTTAAGAAGTTCTCAGAAACTTCAGAGGCAGAAAACCACCACTGTTTACAAATTAATCAACTTAAAGCACCTACTGGCTCTTGGAAAACAAAGCTACTACTAACTGTAATACATTCACCTCAAAAGGAGTCTGTTTGGCTGAATATTTACATGACCAATTTTTTTTATGCAAATATTTTAGCATCCTGTCCAAATTAACAACCTGTGATGGGAGATGACACACTCCTGTGCCAAAAACAAGCACAAATTATTCTTTTTTGTAATTTAAAATGCCATATGAATATAAAAACAACAATCTGTGAGACATAAAGCATTACTGTCATACATAATTGTCTGCAATAGCACCTACAAAGTACTTGAATTTAAATCAGATGAAGCTACTGAAGACCTATGAGGAACAGTGATTTGCTCCGATATTCCTTTTATCCACAGCTTTTAAAAGGAACATTGTGTTTTTATTTTAGCAAAGACAAACAAAGCTTTGCAGAAATCACACTTATTAATTAATTCCATCCTTCTGAGTGGCTTTTATAGGCATCTTTTACACAAAGCATTTCGAACAAATGTCTCAATTTTTAATTTCATCTTTTCTGTGCACCACACCATGCTCCTCCCAGGCCCACCAATCTTGTTATCTTAATGGATGACAGATAGAGTATCAGTCTGACCATGCCACATTAAGCGTCCTCATTTACCGAGTGCAAGAAAAAAAATGCTGAGTATAAATTATTCAGAAATCTATTGTATCAGCGTGTGTTCTCTGAGCATCCACCACTGGCAGAGCAGACAGATTATTTTTCACTTTTAATTGTGTTGATATCTTATCTGCTGCATTGAAAGCAGATAGTGATACACGAAACCATATGTATTAAGCAGCAAATAAACCCAGTCTATTGTTTAGAACTAAATAATCTATTTAGTCAATCTAACTTCAACACAATGCCAAAAAAACCCACCTCATTCCATCCACCACTTACTGTTGTAGTATTGGCCTGATAGCGTGTCAAAATTAGAGACCTCAGTACAGAGCAGCAGTGCCTACAGAGAATATTAACCATTTCAGAAATATTTGGAATGCCATTGTGCCACTGGCTATCTGAATACAAAGCAGGTCATTAAGGATGAGCCCTCAAGATAATGTTACATGTTGAAGTTTATGAAGTCTTACAGAATTGTTAGTGTGAACTGCTACCCTTACGTAGCTGCCAGAAAATCTATACAGCTCCCTCTCCTTCACTGTCCAGTTCATTTTGGCAAGTCACAGGATTTAGAGTCGTTATGCGGATCGCATTGAGAGATGGATCATTTGATCTCAACAATATCTTAAAAATATTTGGTGGCATAGGGCATGCCAAATATTATTTGCAGATGTAGTGGGCTTACCAGTTTAAAACGAGCACTGCAAGCCAGGGACA